GGGATTGGAATGAAAACTGACCTTTTCCAGTCTTGTGGCCACTGCTGAGTTTTCCAAATTTGCTGGCATATTGAGTGCAGCACTTTCACAGCATCATCTTTCAGGATTTGAAATAGCTCAACTGGAATTCCATCACATCCACTAGCTTTGTTTGTAGTGATGCTTTCTAAGGCCCACTTGACTTCACATTCCAGGATGTCTGGCTCTAGGTGAGTGATCACACCATTGTGATTATCTGGGTCATGAAGATCTTTTTGTATCATTCTTCTGGGTATTCTTGCCACCTCTTCTTAATATCTTCTGCTTCTGTTAGGTCCATACCATTTCTGTTCTTTATTGAGCCCATGTTTGCATGAAATGTTCCCTTGCTATCTCTAATTTTCTTGAAGAGATCTCTAGTCTTTCCCATTCTGTTGTTTCCCTCTATTTCTTTGCATTGATCGCTGAGGAAGGCTTTCTTATCTCTCCTGGCTATTCTTTGGAACTCTGCCTTCAAATGGGAATATCTTTTCTTTTCTCCTTTGATTTTTGCTTCTCTTCGTTTCACAGCAATTTTTAAGGTCTCCTCAGACAACCATTTTGCCTTTTTGCATTTCTTTTCCACGGGGATGGTCTTGATCCCTGTCTCCTGTACACTGTCATGAACCTCCATCCATAGTTCATCAGGCTCTCTGTCTGAGCCACCAGGAAAGTGGAAATACACCTAAATCTACTTACCACCATTCTCTATCCATATGCCCATTCTGTTTTTCACTATCATTGCAGAATTCAATAAATTACATGAAATATTCAACAAACAGGCACTGTGTTAGATGATTTTGCTTCACTGTAGTCTAATGTAAGTACTCTGAGCATATTTAAGGCAGGCTGGGCTAAGCTGTGATGCTTGGTACATCAGGTGTATCAAATGCATTTTGACATGCATATTTTCAATTAATAATGAGTTTATAAGGACATAACCCCAGTGTAACTTGAGGAGGATCTTTCCTTTGAAGACTTATTAATATATATGAGAATGTTCTGGGAGGAAACCTATTATTTTTAACAGTGGGGGTAATTACAAAGTAAATATACTGGCATTACTCAAAATAAAATTATTAAAATGAGGTTAAAATAAGACTAAAAATGGTGGAGAGCATACATGATAATGAGATGTCATTTTCAAACATAGGATATTTGACTTCCATAATCCACTTTAAAGAGAAATCATTAATGGTCTTGAAAATTCACTTTTACATAGTGTTAACATTATTATACTTGTAACTTTAATACCTCTTTTTCATATTAATATATGTTACATGGTGCTCTTACACAAATCACTAAAAGATATAAACAGAGTGACATCAAAAGACAAAGTCATAAAAGTTATTATTTATTATGCTAACTACATACGTGTCCCTGTGGCAGTAGCAATTGTGTTTTAGAAATTATTTATTAGAAACTAATGTAAACCATAGAGCAACCAAGACTCTCCCCAAGTGTTCCTCTGACTCATTCTCTAGCCTGAAATTGCCTAAACCCAGCACCTGATGTGAAGAACTGACTCATTTGAAATGATCCTGTTGCTGGGAAAGATTGAAGGTGGGAGGAGAAGGGGATGACAGAGGATGAGATGGTTGGATGGTATCACCGACTCAATGGACATGAGTTTGAGTGGACTCCGGGGGTTGGTGATGGACAGGGAGGCCTGGCATGCTGCAGGCCGTGGGATCACAAAAAGTCGGACACAAGTGAGCGACTGAACTGAACTGAGCACAAATTTTGTTATTGTCATACTCATATACTTTTCAATTTTATATGCTTGACATTTTTTATTATTAAGGCAGATTTTTAAAATAATTTTATTTATTCATTTGTTTATGGCTGTGCTGGGTCTTCGTTGCTGTGTGGGCTCATCGCTAGTTGCAGCAAGCAAGGGTTGCTCTCTAGTTGTGGTACACTGGCTTCTCATTGTGGTGGCTTCTCGTTATGAAGCATGCGTTCTAGGGTGTTCAGGCTTTAGTAGCTGTGGCAAGTGGCCTCAGTGGTTGCCGTTCCCAGGCTCCAGAGCACAGGCTCAGTAGATGTGGCTCATGGGCTTAGCTGTTCCACAGTATGTGAGATCCTCTCAGATCAGGAGTCAAACGCATGCCCTCTGCATTGGCAGGCGGATTCTTTACCACTGAGACACCATGGAAGCCCCAAGGCAAATTTTTATTATTTTTAATTGAGATTTAGTCGACACAAAACACTAGTTTCAGGTATGCAAAGTAATGTTCTAACTCTAAAAAAGAATCACTACAATAAATCTAATTTAAAGTGGTTGCCATACATAGTTACAAATTTTTATTCCTGTGATTACATGTATTCATTCCAAATGCAAGCTAATTTGATTCTTGTAATAAACTCCTTTTGAGACATGCCATACTACAACTTTATAGATTTGATTGCTAATATTTTGTTCAGATTGAGGCTAGGTCTGACAATAATTAATAAATTTACTTCTGATATCTAATATCTTTGAAAGGTTTTGATATCAGAGTTAAGTTTGCC